ATACTGTCTTACAGTATCCCTCGGCACTGCAGACGCACCCTTCACAGAGTTAGTCTTTACTCCACATGTCGCGAATCTAAGTTTGTCTTTTGTCTGATTCATGTGTTATTTCTCATTTTGTTGCTTCATAGCCATCCCCTAGTACACATTTTGAGTGTGCGAGCGACATCGCTCGGACTACGCTGCCCACTAGCTCTAATCAATGGACATAAGCGAGGAAGCGTTGACAGCGACACCGTTTATAAGCCGGCCATTTTTCCACTACTAGCCAGTATACGTAGTCCGGGACGTCCAGCAGTCCTCATTCTTACAGTTTTCATGGACCATTGTTATTTCCTAGCAATTCGCTCATAGCGCCTTTTTGCACCTCATCCCTATTCCGACCCAGGCCATGGACGTGGAGATCATCTACCTGAAGTCACGCATACGCGAGCTCGAGGGTCGCATGGAGTTGGAGGCCTCCGGGAAAAATCGCCTACAGTCCACTGTGGATCGATTAAAGGAGCAGCTGGAACAGCTCTCGAGCGAGCGGGACCGTCTAATCACTTCGCTGCAGGCGGAGAAGGAGAACAACCGTCAGCTAATGCGCAGCCTGCGCGAGACCCGCGAGGATAAGGAGCGACTGGAACGCAAGCTTACGGACTGCGATCGACAGAGGCAGGAGTCAGTGTCTGAGGTGGCCGCCTGTATGCAGGAGAAGCTGCGCCTGCAGGAGGAACTGTCCCAGGCCCTGCGACGGCGTCACAGCATCCGGAAAATGGTCAGTCGCAGCCTCCGACGCAATTCCACTGATTCGTCTGAGGATGACTTTGTGGAGAGCCATCTATCCAGCTGCAGTGGTCAGAGCCGCAGTGGTATCTTCTCGCCCAATGGCAGTGAAGCTGGGAGCTTTTTGTTGGGCAGCGCACGACAGAGTGGGGAGTTTCACAGCTAGGCCCCCCTCGCCGCGTTCCGGTAGCGCTTATGCATTTTCGGCCAGAGTTGAACTTCCTCCTCCAGTCTCCCCCCTCCCCCTGCCGCGTATACATACACTGTTGCCGGCGCCGTGATGTGTATCAGATCTTGTTACTTTTCATGTGTATTGACTTTTTTTCTAGTTACTTATCTGATTCACTTTTCCCTGTTTTTCCTTGCATGCACACATTTCTCTTTCTACGCATCTGTACCTAACTGCATACGCGTTTTATCCTTGCCTTGTGGGCTCTTTTGGCGGTTGGGTTTGTTAATCGCAAGGTTGACTTGGGTCTGCGCATAGCACCTTCAGCGGGTACATACGGCAGACATCTGGTTTGTCATGAGTGACAAGGCCACCGGTGTGGCGCAGTCGTAATTTGCGCGTAAATTTACTCGCAGTAAAACAGACTTCCGGTGCACTGTCCTTATCGCGTTCCGACAAAGTGGAGACGACCGGGAGGGGATTGGGTGGGGAGCCATCCCGATATGACCCTCGTTTCAGGTGGAGAGCCAGTCATACAGCTAGAAATCCCTTTAAAAACCACAACTCCTTGTGCGTCATGATGTTTTGGGGCGTCAATAGTAGTGCGGAATGTGCGGATTTGTAGTGTTGAGGGGTACCCCGCCGGTAGCTTAGCTCTCCTCTCGCATGCACCCGCGGCCGGTGGCTAACGCGGCGTGAATCGCCGCCTAACTCGTACCGCACACGGTAATTCGCTCGTCACGGTCGACGTTAGTGAGCTCCACAGGCATATTGTCGTCCGGATATATTAGTGGTTTTACTGTGTGTAAAGACGGCCAGGACCTCGGTGCACTATTATTCGATGTCCACACACAGCAGGAAACCCCGGAGACGGCATGAGCATGAACGAAGAGTGATCGTTGATTGTGCGCATATAAAAGGTTTGTAAGCGTCTGTTGGGCCAGTATCAGCAGACCATGGCCAACGCAGCCTCGTATGCGCTGGCAGTCCTCTGACACCTGGTTCCTTGCCGGCAGACGCCTTTGCGCTCCCGAATGATATACAGATCGTGCGTATCGCAGCCCAGTCATCCTCGTCTTTTCTGTTATTGTTCTTGGTGGTCAAAATCATGGTCAAGTGTTTATTGTGGAGCGGGGTATGGGGTGGAGCGCCCAGGTGCGGGTTCGGCCGCGCCATCCACCTGCGCATTTCCCGCCTCCGGTCTTATTGACCCTCTCTTGACACCGGGCCCAGGTGGGGGGGGGGGGGTGAGTGCGGTAGGTGCTGCTTTGAAGGGTGATGGCTCGGGCAAACACAGAGCCACGTGTCACCCTTCTGGGTCTAGAGGTCTGTGAGCGTCTACTATGCCAAGATTAGCAAACCATGGCCCTTGCAGCCTGGTAGGCGCTGGCAGTTCTCTGACACCTGGTTCCTTGCCGGTCGATGCCCTTGCGCTCCCGCTGGGTATACAAGTCATAAGCATGGCTACCCGGTTATTCTCGTCTTTCTGACCCGTTGTGGTGCTGTTGTTGGTTAAGATCCTGGTCAAATGTGGTGTGGACCAGGGGGTGTGGAGTGGAGCGCCGTCCACCTGCGCCCTCCCCCGCCTGCGGTCTTCTTGACGCTGTGCCCAGGTGGGGGAGGATGGGAGAGTACGGTTGGTGCAGCGCAAGCCTATAGTAACTAAAAACAATGACGGTCGAATTGTCCTGTGCGCATATGACCGAACTGTCCCACACAACGGCTGAACGCGCGCGCGCACACTATGGGCAGAGGAAGCGTGCGTGACAGGTGTTGGTCAGGGACCCAGATACTGATTAAGAAGTCATGTTGCGATGGATTTGCAGACGTCCGGTCTCGGCGATACGCGACTGGAACGTGCAGCCACAATGAGGACAAGTTGTTACCGTGTTCTGTCGGTATCTTCATCGCAGTAATTACGAAAGCATCCATTAAGGTCGTACTTGACCAGAAAATGACGCCACAATGAGAAGTTATCGGCGGCAATGGTGGCGGTACTTCTTTGTGTAGGAAATGACCCCGGTAGCATCCGACAAAGTAGGTTTAGGTTTTGGTAGTGGAGGCAATTTGACACGAATCTGGTGCTAGTTTCCGTGGTCTGCACCATCGAAGCGTGCATGCTCGTAATTTCGCCCTGGTCGCCTCTATCTGCTCGGTTTTGGAAATGACTGATGCAGTTTTTTAGGGCTGTTTGTTGTGCCTGCCCGCTCTCATGCAAGCGTTTTCCAGAACTATTGTTTTATTTTCGGGTACTTGATAGATGCCTTCCTGCCTACGTGCATACCGCTTCAGCATCGATTGCCAGGTACATCAACCAGGATAGCTCGCGTCATTTTCGATGCTAACTTTGAATGCGCTGTCCGATTTCACTTTCAGACACTCAAAGGTAGTGGTGTGGTGACAGGAGCTCACTGGTAGGAGGAGGGGAGTTGTCAACAAAGCCAGAGACCGGAAAGATTATTCGAGGTTGACGTGTCATCATTACCCGACGACGTCGGCTATACCAGGTTAATGTTATTTCAATAGACATCAACGTAGTCAATAGTTCACGCGTCAGATGTAGCTCTCTCTCTTCCACCCCGAGGTTATTGTAATTCAGATGTAAGTCTTGGCCGCAAGTGGTTGAATACGTCTGACGACAGAAACTGAAGCGAAAACGACCACTCGATGCACTGTGTCTGGGTTTCTATGCGTTTCAAAGAAAAACCTTTATTCTCAAGTTAAAGAACAAAATACGAAGGTGGATCTCAGATGGGCCGCATCCGAGCCCCCAGTTAAGTTTATACTGTAATGCGCTTCGTGCTCAAACACTCAACAGGCAATTCTTTGAGAAAAGGGCCATGGTCGGAGCTACGCGTTCCACAGCGGGGTGAAAAAAAGTCGGTGCAAATGAACGGTAAAGAGTAAAGGCACTTTAATAGTCTGGCAGTGATAGTAAGGTACAAACATCGATTAAAAAAGATGAAAACATGAAAAGTCTGGGCAGCGTAAATGCACAAATTTGGAAAATGTAGGCTGTTATGACATCAGTTCACGACACTCTGCGCGACATGATGGAGTAGTCTACAAATTTTCCGTATTTACAGGGGTCGGTGGAGTCCACCTTGAAGCCGAGCTTCCCAAAGAAGTTGTACGCATGCGTGTTGAACTTGAACACAGTCAACATGACTCGCTGCATGGAGGCTCGAGCTGCAATTGCAAAGAGAAGATCAACTAACTGGTGCCCCAGTCGCACACCACGCGCACTCTCAAGAAGTTGTATTTCGTAGCAGTAGAGGACAGCACGGTGACTATCACATTCAAAGCGAAAATGAACGAAACCGCAGACTCCACTGGGAGGTGGGGATTCGCGTGGAGAAGTATGACGACCAGCAGTGCAGGCGTCTTTTTGTCGATCAAAAAAACATACTAAGAGGCGAGACTCGGGTGCGAAAAGTTCTTTTCGTTTGGCCTCGGCGTCCCAACCCCAAGACGACTTACAATAGAGATCCTGAAAAACAGGGGATAAATAACAAGCTCAGGGTGCTGCCGCTGCTGCAATCAGTGTTTAGTCACAATCACTCCAAAAAAAACGAACTCTGCGGGTCAGGCTAGCAACATATTACTCCGCCGATACTTTGTGAATCAAAAGTGGATCTCAGGATAACAACTGACTATGAGCTAAGTCAACGGCTGGATGACCAAAGCTGTCACTTAAAACAGGTAAGTGCAGATGCATTGACTAACTAAAAACAAGTGGTTTGTGGAAAGTAGGAACCGTCATTGCCTGAAGCAATACAGAACCGCCATAGAACCCGGAGGAATTTTATTTATACTGACATATTCTCTGATGATAGGTGAGACCGAACCATAAGAAGACAGCATGATTCAAGCTCCTACTAGATAGATAGAAAAATGAGTTGATTTTGAAGCAGAGGCGGTAGGTTTGATAGAGGAATGACAGTTATCGGAGATGTTTGTGAGGAGCCTCAGTCAAACCCCTAAGGCTGTAATTATCTCTCACGGAGTAAGTAAAGATGCTATAAGGCCACGTCTTTCTTGTTGTTTTAGATAAAAGCAGACATTTATATGCAGTCAATGGCCAGTTTCCCAATCATCCTGTCCACAAATTCAAAATGACGCGCACATCTCATATTACAGAACTGGTATCAGTGCAATGAACGAATTGCCAAAAAGAGATCTGACAACTTTTATGGAAATGATACTTTTAAAACTTCAAAGATCGCGAAACATGAGAATGTGCCAAGGTATGCAGTCAACGATTGATCTTAAAAGGTTCCTGCAGCGACGCTTTCGTCAAGGACGAGAGAACGAGGGAAGAATGGGACGGTTTGCCCGAATATTTATTAGAAGGGTGTCGATAAGACCAGTCCCTTATTATTGCCAGACTTTCTAAATAGCTTCGAACGACGATCAGTCTAAAAAGGATACTTAAGTGCATTTCAGTCCCGCGGTTAACAGGGTGGAACGAAAAAAATGTACTAGACGGAAAATAGGCGTTTTCTATAAAGAAGGTATTTTCTGAAAAAATAATGACTAAGGTAGATGCGTGGAGACAGATGTCACTTATTTCGATGCCTCTTAGAGGACCAGGCAGCTACTTGCCAACAGATCCCAAACTCAGTAAGGTGTACTACTAGAAATTCAAGGAGGGCGAAGGCTATCAAAAACATCAATGGCAGCAAGAGTTCCTCAAGGTACCTTCATGTTGTGCTCCAGGATAGAAAAGAGCTCAGCCTGCAGCGTGGTGGACAATTCTGACGCCTTGGCACACCTGACAGAGAAGGCATAGCAACAGCAGTCTAATGATGTTTTCGCTTCTGCCAGGAGATCAGCCGCAGTCATACGATTGGCAGAGTCAACAATAGTCTCGTTGTCTGATATAGACTTCTTCAGATTAGGAGTACGACGCTCGGATTTCTGGCGAAAAGATGGCATTCTTCTAGTAGTAGGATGATGTCAGACCTAAGGGTCAGAAAGATGAAAATGCAGAGATCACTGTAGAAAGATAATCATGCAACACAATAGTATAAACAGCGCTTGACGTTATGGTCTCCCTATGTCAAAAAAGGGCGCGTTTAGATGCGAAATGTGTGGTACTACCCAATGTCCTTTTGTAGCAGAGGAAAACGCGTCAGACCGCCATAGGCTACATTAAACGGTTCACAGTTAACAAAAGTGTCTAAAAAGCCTCAGGTAAGTTATGACGGTCCAAAAGCTTATTTATCAGTTTACTAAGAAGGTATTATGTGAACTTCAGAACTCACCATGTCAATGTTCTAAAGCTTGAACAAAAGATGGCCTAAATTGTGACACGTTGCAGTTTATTCTGAATCAACCATATCTAAGCAATACACCTTATGCCTGATTCTACACTCTATCTCAGGAAAGCTTCAAGCTCAGAAGCGAAGATACTAAAGCCAGAGAACACGGTTGGCTGCAGTTGCGAAGATTGTGGTTATAATTCCTTGAGTCAGACTCATAAACCGACTCCCCAGTTTACTTTTTGGATGGCGAGCGAGCGGTTTCAAGGATACATTGTACGAATAATACGTAGCTGCTAATTATATGGAAAGGTATCAAGGCTTACAAGTCTATACGGAAAATATGCCCTTTCAAATACTGCCTGTTATATGGAAGCATTGGTAATTAGAAGTTTTGAATGATATTTTCAAAATAAAGCATTCCTCTCTCTCTCTCTCTATGTGTGTCTAAAAATCGATAACATGAAGGCAGTACGTGTAAGATTTAAGTACTATTCATAATATTGGCACAGAGTCCAGGAGCGCAAGCGAAAGGGGCACATCTGACAATAATTGCGAAACGAAATTATAAAAAAGAGTATATTGAGTGCGAGCCCTTTTTATAAAATGCTGCAGCAGAGGGTGCAGCTTACTAAAATTGCTTCATTTAGCGCAAGGCAGAGTTCATCCACCACCAACGAATGTGGTGAATTCGTACAATGTGTACATACCAAATTTGCAGTTTCACAAAAGATTCCTCCTTTAGCGTCACTTGACGTTAACTGCGACCAACCTGATTAAAATGAACACCATAAATGAATTGAAGAGTGGTGTGACAGTGCAAGCGCTTGTATGTTTTGCCCCAAGACAGTGCGATTTTTGCGGCTGGGACCTGTGGACAGGGGAATTCGGTGCGCTGGAATGGTTTTCTCGGTGCCAAACTAATTTACATTTGTGGACAGTCCATAGCTCTAAGCCAATGGAGAAATTAGTTGACGAAGCCTTGAAATGTTAAGCTCGATTTGACGGTTGCTACGATTATTTACGCTGAAACGTACTAGCTTCGGGGAGACCGAACACCTCGCAGTTGCGTCATGCAGCGCACAAAATCGGCAAAACAGATGTCTAGGTTTTTAGCCAGTACTTGCACCAGCAATGTGGTGAAGCAATCAAGTTTGCAGTGCCGAACAGGCAGAAGGACAAAGTGTGCAAAGGGGGACCCTCACCGCAAATATGAATGGCCTTATGACTAAAGAACTCCATGCGTGCGCCTGCAGCATGCGCGTCGACGCTGCTGGTCAGTCAACATAGATACAAAAATTGACAACAACTACGCAGGCCAAAAACACAAACGAATCTCCACTTATTGAGCTCGTAACCGCAGCCAGGACGCATCACGCTGAGGGAGGGTGGGTCGGGGGCTGCCGCCGGGGAAGTGGACTCACACGCTCAGACTGGAAAAAAAAAACGTTCAAACCAAACAATTTTCCATAGACGTCCCAATTCTTTGGCAATGTCAACAACCCTCCACTCAGGATGTTCTTTATTAATTTTGTCCCTTAACTCATCACAGAAGAATAATAATGCGGACCAGGCACGTTTCGGCTGGGTTGGAGCTTTAAAGGCCTTCCGTTCCTTGCCCTTTATGACGCCCTTGGAAGAAAAGCAATCAACCACTTCGCGATTGAAACGCTCCTTTTCAAGTGCAGACATGTCCTCGAAAGGTTTTTTCTCCTTTGCCGTCACAGCCTTCCAACGTTCAGCACATTTTTTCGAGAAGTCACTAAAAGCATATTTTTCACCGAGATGCTTCCGTTCGTGTTCTTCCCGAATCACTTGAACAAGGCAGGCCTCGGGCGGCATTGGCCCTTTTGATCGGTTCTTGTCTTTCAGTACACGGCCCATCGCTATGAGTACGCGCCTATTGCAGTTTCAGGCCTATTCAAAAGCTTGTGAGATTAGGTTAGCCTGTGTACGATTCAGCTTCAACACGGATTGGGGGGTCGAATTATCCCAGTGGTGAGCATCACTTGGATCAGGTCGTCCAATTCCTTTTGGAAGTTTAGTGAAATGCGTCTTTGGGGTTTCCACAAGGGTTTCGACGTGCCCATATCGATACTGTGTCGGATGACCGCAGTCCGGCCTGAGGAAGTGTCGTCCCATGCGAAAACGCCATGAAACTTAATCAAGAGTGGTTTCAAATCCTGTTTGTCGCCAACGACAATAGTGTCTATGTTAGTGGGTGGCAGGACAACCGACGCTGAAATGGCCGCGCAAGTTGCCTCCTCGTCAAACTCGGCGTGTGTAGAAGGAATCGGCGATGCCCTTCTCCCGAATGTCAACGTGCGGCCCTTTACCATGATACGGCATTTATGTGCGGATTTGAAGTCGAGGCCGAGTATCATGTTCCGCGTCAAATTGGGTGTGACGACAAAAATTCGTTCCCTTACACTGTTTGGGAAGGAGATGGGAAGTCGAACCGTGTCTATAGTGGCCATTGGTGACCCGTCTGCCGTTCCGAGGCTAGGTTTACGGCCACTTTGTCTGGTGAGGTTGATCCATTAAGTGTATAGTGTATCCACTCTGATCCATGACGTGGTAGCTCCTGTGTCCACTAAGGCCTTAATGGACTGTTTATCAAGATGTACTGTCGTGTAAAACGGCGAACTGTTGGATGCATTATCGGAGCAGACAGGGATGTGGTTGCCTTCTCGATATTGGGCTGATCCGGTGCTAGCAGGCGGGGCCCGGAAGGGTGTGCGAGATTTGGTGCTCCAGTTGTCGTGGTCAAATCGTTGGGGCAGCTGTGGGTGTGTCCAGCGTCAGTAGCCGAAGCTCTGTTGCCCATGCCCGGGCATGGCCCCCACGGTTCGGGGCGGGGTTGAATATCGGGCCCGGGGGGTTCCGTTTATGACATATGAAACGTGGATGAATGGCGTCGTTAAGCTCGTCAGGCGACTGAATTCGGATTGAGTATGCTACTTTTTGGGACTCGAGTCCGCGTCTGAAGTGGTACAGGACCACGTGCTCTCTATCGGTCACGGATAATAACGGGTACGCGTCACGAATTAGACGAAGAAGAGCGTCAGGGAACGGCCGGAGCGTCTCGCCATCTCCTCTGTGCTGTTTAAGCAGCCGATTAATCGCCTCTCCTTTGGAAAGTGGAGGCTGAAATAGGCGCAGCAACTAGTCACAAAGCACCTGGAAGGGTGTGTGGCGCGTAAGACCGACACCCAGGGTTTTGTCCATTCAGTCTTGGGCCAAGTATTATAACGCCGTGCGGCTGAGTTCATTTAGTGGAACATCACCCAAGTGAAATCGTAAGCGTCTTTGCCAACATGTAGAATCTTTGCTCCCAACGTAGGGCCTAAAGAACGGTGGCACGGGGTTTGGGGCAGTGATAGGGGGGTGTGGGCTCGGCTCGTGCGCTTCCCTCCTTGTAAGGTCTTATGGTCGGTGCGAATGATGAAGTGCCTGCCCACGAGGAACGGCACAAACTGTTTTACAAATGCGATAAGAGCTAACAGCTCCCATCGGCAAGTACGATAGTTGCGTTCCGGTTTGGACGGCGATTTGCTCGCAAAGCAAACTGGTCGCTCGGCAACTGTTTCATCGACTTGTGAAAGTGAGCCCCGAATCGCAAACGAATGCGCGCGTTATTATTGGCAAATCGATCGGCCGAGGCGCTTGGTTTTGCGCGAGTTCTCTGGCACGCCACCTTTTGATCGCTTACGCTACTTAGCGCACACAGTTGCTGCGTTGATGGTGCTGTTTACTTTACGGGTTCTATAACCCTTTTCTGTTCTTTTTTGTTAGAATGTTTAAGAAGATAACAAAGAGAACATTCAGGAGACAAGTTTATGCTACTGTTAAGGAGCACTTG